CTCTGTTGCAAAGCACTACCGTACTTCCACATGTCTAGTGGGTAAGGATTAGTTTGTGGCTCAGTCTGGTTATAAACAAAAGTACACGGATGGAGATGGACGAAGTCGGGGGTCGATGGACATCTCTAGGACAAATGAAGGCTACACGAGCTGCGGCCCGGTAGTCGAGATGTCATGGCACAGGGCCGGTGTCCTACTGCTAGGGGCTCAGTCCTGCCTACCTGTCCCAGAGGTTCCGGCCGTAGGTGGGGTTGGGTCGGTACTCTTGTCTATGGCTAGGATGGGTTGGAAACTATGTCACGTCTTCCGTCCGTATACCGTGGTGGTATGTGGCACGTAGTTACACGTGAGGAAGATGTGTCTTGTGGGTAAAGATGTACACCTCTAATCAGAGTATAATCTATTCGAATAGCCGCGCCCTCGGTTATGGGCAAGCCGAGCAATGTACCTAAGTTAGTGTTTTAATTCTTAAAACCTGCTTAACAACTAAAATGTGGAATGGTTGGCCTGGGTTGGCTTGGGACGAGCTGGGACCCAGGGTCGGGTTGCCAGTTCGGTCTGAATCATCGTAGACCTTGGGTTAAGGCAGGTTCGTGTGGGTTCACGGCCTTGATTAATAATATTGTATAGCTCTGGAATCGTGTTTACAAAATAGCTTTGAGCAACTAAGTGTCTTTTAATGCTGTTTACTGCAAACCCTAACCCTTTATATTATAACCCCCTTATACTCCCTTGCATTTATCCTGCACTTGTGGGTGTGTCTTGTTGAGTACGGTGGTTGTACTCAGTCTTGCTCAATTTTTCCCAAACCCAGAAGAGGAGCCCCTGGAAGATGAAGGCTTTGGTGTCTAGCTCGTGCCTACCGTCAAGCGCCTGTGGTCGTCGCCCTAGTCTTCCGCTGTTTCCTGTTTGTCTTTGTGTGTGCTGGGCCTTCGCCGCCCATGTAATAAATTAACTATTTACGCTTCCGCTTGATAAACTCTGAAATGTATCAACTTTTGGTGTACCTTGCCTCCTGGGACAAGGAATAATACACGCACGTAAGGAACGCCTGTTGGGTTAATTTCGGTCGTGACACTTGTATAGGATTAGTTCCTAATGTTTCATTCTTTTTTGTACATACTCTTGATTCACACAAACATTTTGTATGCATACATTTAGGGGTAGCAAATCCTATACTTTAGTTATGCATGTAATTGATCCAAGTTTTTCATTTTCATTTAATTGGGATCTCTGCATTTGAGTATACATTCGAGTATATGACACTTGTGGTGTTGATTAGTACTCATCATTTATTCATATCCTTTTTCATACGCGATCGGTTGGTCAGCATGTGGAGGTTGACCACCGGATCATTGAGACTAATAATTTTATTGAGATGAATGAGAGAAATAGGTCCCAAGGATTGCAAAGGTGTTGATGCTCAAGTGATATCATTACACCTAACGATACCAAGAATGACAAATTGAAAATGTTGAAGATGTGGGATACGAAGTGGCTACTATGGCAAGACGGTGAAGGGCAAGCGGTGCTCGGTCATGATAGACCATGCGGCAGTGATGGGCAAGCAAGATGCTTTGCGCCAAAGAACCAAATCCGGTGGTGAAGGGCGAGTGACAGCTTTGTCATGATGGACCGTGCGAGGCCATTTGAAGCTACAAGTAACCGCATCAATCATTTGAAGAATATATGTGAAACGGTTTCGGCATTTGTGTACTATTAAGAGGGAAAGATGGAAAGAAGGCATTCCTATTGGTATAATTCTCTTCCTATTTACATTTGAGTTTAGGAATGCCGTACTATTAAGAGGGATGTAACGTCGAGGTGTTTGTGTATGTCTCGGTGCTCAAAGTGACCTATCATAGTGCTACCTTGAGAGAAACCCAAGCTTTAACCTATCCTTTGAGTAGTTTTAGACCTTGTTTTTGGTTGAGTTGGGTAGTTCTCTGAATGAGCTTTCCATAGATTCCAATTTCATCAAAAACGGACTCCCGAGCGAAAAGTTATAGTCGTTTTACTCTGTGCTTTTCGGAAATTGCGAAAAATTATCGGAAACTCCGAAAATTTTTCGGAAAACTCCGAAAATTTCGGAAATTCCGAAAATGGCTGTGAATTTGAGAATGGCTCCTGTAAATTTTCGGACATATCCGAAAATGCTTTTTGAAACTTCTGAAAATTACAGTATTAGCCTCCAACGGCTAGTTTTTGAGGGGCTCTGGTATATAAACTCCTCCACCGGCCTCCTTTGAGTTGCTGTTGTTCTTGGGCAACATTAGACACATCCAAACCCAAATAGCCATCCCCATTTCCCATCCTTTGTGGTGCCTCTTTGTGAGGGGGATTTGAGAAGGGAAGAGAGTTGGATTGAGAGATTGAGAAGTTGAGAGCTAGTGAGCTTCACTCCATACTTTGAGTACTCGAGTTCATAGCAAGCAAATATATTCGATTGTGTTTGTTACTCTTGGGGACTAAGGTCTCATAGACGGCTAGGCGTCGCCGGTGAGCATCCAAGGTTGTGTTGAGCCACGAAAAGTTTGTGAAAGCTTCGATTTTGCCTCCGCAAGGGAAGAAATCAAGAGTGAAACCGAGGAGTGTATTTGTGTAGCCTCGTGAGGAAAGGGTTGAAATAGACCCGGCCTTGTGGCCCCTCAATAGAGATGTTGGATCCGTGGATTCGAACTTTGGGAAACAAATCAACGTGTCCCCTCTCTTGGTTTGCTCGTTCTTGCGATCTCTCATATCGTGCTTGAGCTTGTTTTTACCTGATCTACTTGCATGCTTGATTAATATTGTTGGTGACCCTATATCTTGTTTAGACACCTTTTTTGTCACCTTTTGATTCATATACATTTTAGTTGTTCAAGCTACAAGTTCATAGCTAGTGTTTATTCCGTTATTCGCTGAACTTTTTGGTTGAGACCGGAACTTCCAATCCCATACCGGAAGTTTGATTTGAATCAAAAATTCTCATCACTCTAATATGCTATGAAGTTGTGATAATTTTTTGGAACGCCTATTCACCTTCTCTCTAGGCAACATCAAGGTCCTTTCAATAAAGATTTAATTGCAACGAACACAATTATGTAATCGGATTGTAGATCGGATAAGTAATTTTTTTAGATAATGGAATATAATATCCCAGCCTTTGCTCAAAAAGAACTACAGCCAATTATTACAAAGATCTACTCCAGAAGAGAGTGTAGTTCAAGACAAGTTGAACACACCAAACAAGAGAAGAGAGGACCCAAACTAAGAAAAGAAAAACAAAATATGGAGCTAGAAGGCCTCGTCCAGGCCTAGGACTGAAGTTCGCCAATGCATAGACCAATGACAATATCCTTGCACGAAGAGGTTTCTCCAAAACAGTGCCCCCAAGGAGGATGCGACGTGGATCGCCGCCACCGCTCGTTCGGAACCGAAGCAAGGCTTTCACCCGGAGAATATGGTAGGGAAAGGAAAGGGGTATGCTAAAACAACACCTCCAAGGAGGGGAACGACACCAAAAGGCGTCGCCGTTGTCAGCTGGCCAAATGGCTCTGCAAGGCTTTCGCCCACGATTCCCAGTCCAAACCCACACCACCAATTCGCACAAGAAGGATCGTCGTCGATCAACAACATTGTCCCTTCAGCGATTTGGCCAAGGCCACCACCCACAATTGTTCCCGCCGTCAACGGCACGCCCGCACCCGGACTCCTCCTTCCCCGCCGCTAGACCCCTTCCCCGCCTCCACATACCGCCGCCGATGACGACGCACCATCAGCCGGATGATGGCCTTCAACCATCGCCGCCATAGGTACCATCGTCGACAGCCGCCACCGCCACTGCCACAGCCACCACCATCGCCAGCCGCCACCTTCAGCCACCATCGCCACCGCCACCGCCACCGCCACAGACACCCCCGTCCAGCCACCACCGTCCAGCCGCCACCGTCAGCCGCCACCGTCGCTAGCCAGCGCCGCCATACGCCAGCCGTCCAGATCCGGCCGGATTGGCGTGGATCGGAGGTGCAGCGCGAAGCGTGGGTCGCCGGCATCATGGAGGAAGGCGACACGGGCACGGCGTTCACAGCCGGAGCATTGACGAGGGCGCCGCGCCTCCCTCGCGGCGGCGAGGTTCTTGACGAGGGCCGGCGTCGCGGCACGCGCCGCAGTCCGCCGCCGTCGTCGCCAACTTCGTCGCCGCCACATCTGCCACCATCATCGCCGCTAGCCACCCCCCTTGCCAGGTCCGCGGAGCGGCGCCGGCGTCGACCGAGCCCGTCGCCGATCACCCCGGCCAAGCGGGGAGACCAGATCTGGCAGCGCCGTCGCCCGTCGCTGGAGCCGCGGAGAGCCGACACCGTGGAGCGCCCCACCGCCGCGCCCAACGCCACGCCGTCGCCGTGCCGTCCCCGTCGCCACGACCTCGCCGTCCCGCCGCCCTCGTCGCTAGGCCCGCGCCGGGGCGAGGTAATATGAGAGAAAATTTTATAAGGAAAAAAAGTAATGTATAACATAATAGTTAAGAATACATGCATGTATGTGGGCATGTAGTAGTTCTTCTCAGTTCTCACGTCACTAGTTAAGACAAAATCGATCCCCGCAAAAAAAAAAGTTAAGACAAAATTGAGATTACTCTCATGTTGACGAGAGAAACACACACTGGCCTAGGAGATCTGCTTAGCTCCAGTGCAGGTCTAAAAGGTTGATGAGATGCGGACGTGCCAGTCAGTTTGATCCTGCAACTGACAAGATATGCAAACAGCAGATAAAATCCACATGAGCCCTTCTGCACTATAAATTAATATATGAATTAACAAAGATGGAGGAGAGAAATAATCCTGAAAATAATTGGAAAACCATTTTCACTCATGTTTCCACCCACCTATTTTACCCTAGCCTAGTTTGCCACGACCTGGGCCCACCTGGCAGCCTCCCTGGCTTGCCCACGCCCTGTCCATCTTCTCCTCCACCGCTCTACCCGACCAGCATTCAAGAAAAACAGCCGGAAGAGAGAGGGGAACCGAGAGAACGACCTGCTCGACGCGTGGACTCGGCGTGGCATCGCCAAGCTCGCCTTCAACCTCTCCCAGACGCGTCGCCCATCTCCACTTCACACCCAGAGCCGACCAGACCAAGAGAGGAGAGCCCTCAGCCTCTCCGTCACCCTCATCCTTGTCACCGACCGTGGAGAAGACGAAGGCTGCCGTCGTCGTCAAGCCGCGCACGCCGTCATCTCTTTTTCGTTCCATACTTCTCTCTCCATGCCGAGCAAATCCTCTTTTGACTCCACTTTGTTTCGTCCGCTGCAGCGACGGGAACGCCGCCGTGCCCACGGGTGTTGCAGTGCGTGCACCGAGCGCCGCCGCAACGACATCGTCGCCGTTGCCGTCGATTTAGGCCAAGCCGGAGCGAGCTACCACGCCACCAGCTTCGCGTAGTCCTCCTCTCCATTTCCCCTCAAAAATCCCAAAGAATGGCGCATCGAGGAAGGAGATCGGCGTCATCCTCCTCAACTCGGGTCACCGTTGCCATTTGCCGAATCCATCTTCTCCGGTGAGTCCCAATCCGATTCCATGCATCAGTAGCATCCCTGTGACCTCAATAACCCCATGAAAACACATGCATGTCAATTTGATGAGTGGATCGAGTCGTTGCCGTCTTCCCGGAGCTCTGCACCGTCGCCGGACCATCTTCTTCACCGCTGCTGTTGTCCAGACTTTCCCGCGCCTCGTTCAAGCTTCGGTGAGCATCGTTGAGCCCATAGGATTTCATTCATGCATTTCATTCACTTAGAATCGAGCACCAACTCAACATGCAGTAGCAGCCTAAGCACAGCCGCCGCTCGGACTCGCCGCCAGCTACTCCGATGTTCCCTAACCAAGAAAAGTAGAGGAATGGAATCAGGAGAGCGTTCTCTTCATTTTGTCTTTTGACCTCAACCCCAAACGAGCCACCAATCACCGCCGGCGAGCTTGACAATCTCACAGCCGCCTCCCCTGTCCATGGCAGTGCTGGAGGTTGAAGACGAGGACGTCATCCTGTAAATAATCAAAACTAAAAGGGTCAATATGTAACTTTCTTACCCAATGACATATGGGCCTAGGACTGCGGGTTTATTCTTAGAAAACTCAGATCTTTTTGCATATTGATCTCTCACTGCTATGTGGACCCCCTGGAGAGAAAATCTGAGAATATACAAGAGAGATACCTAGAAATTGTAAAATCCATATAAAATCAAATATGACTCATTTTGAGATGATTTAAATTTCTCTGAAATCACCAAATCATTAACTTTAACTTTATGGCATAAAAACTTGCACTCACAGTACAAATTTAGCCTCTAAAATTCATCTAATATAAATCATACATAAAGCATATACAAACTTATAAAATGCATATAAAATTCATCTCAACTCATTTTGGAACAAACTCAAATCCTACAGACTCACCAACATGCACTCATTGGTAAAGAGAAATAAAATAATATACTTATTTTATACCAAAAGCCACTGAAACGATTATCTTTAAAAATAGTAAATTCTAGATAAGCTGAAATTTAGAGGTTTATATAAAATTCATCTTAGATCCTTTTTGAGTAAACCTAAGTTCTGTAGAATTACCAAAACATATACTTCCAAGTTATAAAATAAAAATATATGCTTACTGTACAATAAAAGCCTCTAAATATTTATGTAAATAATAACCAACATAGAGCAACCTTTAATTTGTAAAATTTGTAGAAAATTCATCTTTAGTCCAAATGGAGTGAAGCCAGTCTCTATGTAACCAGCAAGAAGTGAATTTCATCCCAGTGAAATAAATATGGCATCTTTTGTACTAAATATATCTCTAAACTTTAAATTGATAAACCTAGATGCTAATCACATAGTACTAGTTAAGCAAATTATATAAAATACATCCAATCTTCAAATGAGCCAAATAGATCCTAGATGGACCAGATAACCTATAACTCCAACCTCTCCCACCAAAACTTAAGGCACTTAGCTCATATAATAATTTCTAGGTTGATATAAAATATTGCTAGCATAGACTAGAGCTCATCTAGGTTATAAAAATATGAACCATGATAATAAAGACCATAAGCTTATGAACTAAGGTTAGATTAGTTAACTAAAAAAATCATTTTATACATCACTAGCTAGATGAGGCAAGTTCTGGACCTAAACCTCTAAAGGCATGAACCTATAGAACACTATACACTTATAACACGTTATAACTTGTAAAATACATAAAGAATTCATATTAACTCCAAAAATTATGAAAACAAATGTGTTAGTCTTAGAAAACACTTCTCTATATCTCTGTGGAGTCAAACTTAATAAACATCACTTTATAAAAATATTTTATAACACTACCTAGGTAAATGCTATCCTATACCGAGCAAACTTCTAAAATTCATAACTCACAAATAATAAAAAGAGATAAAATATAAATTCCTTCACCTAAATTCATATTAGACTAGTACATATCCACTGTGCACAAATCATGCATTTTAGAGCATTTTGGATTTTTCGCATAATTCGGTGTTTAATTGCATAACGTGTACTTTATATAGATAATTGCTTAAACGGTGAAGAAGTGAATTAGGTGCTGACATTTTGCAGTTTCAAGGCAAGTCCTACCTCCCTCTATCTTTGATCACTTTGAATCTATATTTTGGAGGTTATTGAAAATGAGGTTATTGAAAATGTTTGCAAATCTTGCATGTCGATTGTACACTAATAAACTAAAATTTTGTTAAACTTGTTAGACAAACTCCTATTATTTGCATTATCACCTTAACCCCACATATATCCATATCCCTCATTCATAACCTTAGGAATCATATCATGTTACTACTTGGAATATGAGTTACATTATCACTAGTTTATAGCCAATTTTTCCTTTACTATATTGCTTAGCCAAGCTTAGAATGGTTTTACTTATCACTTGGGCTCATATTAACATGAAAAATGATTTTATTAATATTCTGGACAGAGATGAATAAATGAATAATTTGACAAATAAAATGGTGGAAAACTTGGATTTTAGGTTTGGGCCTCAAGTGGTGCACATATGGTGATTAGTTGTGTACTGATAGCACTACAACAAAACAAACATAAAAAGACGTTTATCTAGAGGCGAGACTTTAGTCGTCTCTGTTTTTGGAACCCTCCCGAGAATAAAGACGTTTTAAGAGACGTTCTAGATGGCGTCTTAGATTTACATTTATTCTAATTTTCTTTTTACTAAACAAATCCTTAAAAGTACCCACTCGTAGGTACTATCGCACAACCAACTCCCGACTCTCGTCCAGATCTACGCTCGCCGCCGCCGCGAGGGTTTCTGGCGCCTCTTCCTTCCCGACTCCCGTCCAGCCACCACTGCCGGCTCATCCTCTCCTGTGGAGCCGCGTCCTAGGGCGGCGGCGGCGCGTCCTCGCCCATGGACAACCGCCGACTCCCGTCACCCTCGCCTGCCCAATGTCGTAGAACTGGTTTCACGGCTCCACGGCTCCATGGCAGCAGGTCTGCTCTTTCTTCCCCTAATGACCTAATCTGTGAGAGCTATTTCTCCAATTCTAATGTGATCCAATTTGGGCAGTTTGTATTTGAGTTATACCCCCATCGGGTTATTTATTAAAAATCCAGCAAAACTACAAATTAATACTCCTTTCCTTCGGGGATTTGCCATATGGCACTACGTTGTTTGATGAATGCATGCAACCTGTGATGTTTAAGCGCACATCTACTACGTAGTTATATCATCCTATCTGCAGAACAACCTAGCGAACTGAAATTCAGAGGAATCAAACGTATATACTTTCTTAATCTCTATGATTACATTATCATCAGGGTAAGACAATGTTCAGGTTCTGTTCATTAGCCTTTACCCTGTCTCATTGTAAACAATGTTCAGGTTCTGTTCATTAGTCTTTACCCTGTCTCATTGTAAATTCTTATTTGCTACTGCCGTTTTCGTTTCAATTGAAATCTTAGCTTCAAAACGTTATAGAACTATAGATCAAGTATTGCTGAAATTAACTTCCTTTTTAAGATTTGTAGAAAAAATTGAATTCTTTCTTTGATGACACTCTGAGATTCTTGAACAATTTGTTCATCCGAGTTTAGGCAGTTAAGTTGTGTTTTCTTTAGCAAAAGCTTATTGAATCATGAATACAGCAGCAATTCTATTTATCTCTCACTGTACATGAGATGCTTTATTTAACTTAATTATTATATTTACGTACAGGCTTGCAGACTATTACAAGACTCTGTTCAAGTCATCTAACTATTGGGCTGCCCTCTAGCTTATCTTGATCTATCTATGCACTTCTGTCTGAACTTGAAGAACAAATTCACTTGAACATGTTTAACTTGGTAGATTGGACTGGTTCTGAATCCTGATGGTTGTTCATATATATTGTCCTTTGGAATCAACTTTTTATATGTTGAACTTTCCAAATTATCTACAAGCAGGAGCAGAGTAACTGCTGAAGTTTCAAGGTATGACCATCATTAGCTCCCTTAATTGCTATTCGTACTTATGATGAGAAATTCTTGCCTTTTAAAAGTATAAATCAAGTAGCCATTAAGGTAAATTGCTGCAGATGATCTGTAGGACAATTTTCTGATGTTAACACAGTATGGTTGTAGTCTCTTTGTTCAGAAATATACAGTTTTCTCATGTTAATACTATGAGAAATATTATAGTGAGTAAACGATCCCAAGAACAGGTGTATCTGATATGAAACAATACATATATGGGTTTTCTAATTCTTTGGGCTAGCTTTCATACATTTTTTGTGGGTCATAATAACTACTGATTTGGTTCACAAACAATATATTTTGCAGGGCAATGCAAATGGATTGTATAGGAATGCTACATCATGAAGATGGGAGGAGCTAAAGCTATAGTATTAGCTTATGAACAGTTATAATTTCTTTTTGGAGATGATTCAAATCTCATTTTCTGTATGTATGTTTACCTGACATGTTGATCACAGTTGCTCTTAATATAATTACCTTTCATCGATTGGATTGTACTGTGTTCCTGTTTTGTGGCATTGTTCTGTTGATGGCGATATTATAGTAGTATGATGTTTGATCGGATGTAAATGGTGTGAATTTCTCAAGCCTGATATCCTACAATATATAGATATGCGACTATATAATACGTATTAATTATTCTTAACAACGCATCATGAGACGCTTTAATAGCTGTAGAGACGTTATTGATCACATCCATAAAAACGTCCCAACGAATGTAGAGATGCTATTTTGGTGTCTCAAATATGTTTGAGATGCTTTACAAAGCATCTCTACAATTCTGAGACGGTCCCAACAAAGACGCTTCTGGGACGCTTTTAAGAAACGACTCTACATACGTCTAAGGATGGACGCTTTTAAGAAACGACTCTACATACGTCTAAGGATGGTTTAAAACGTCTCTAGGACCCAAATGAGATGTCTTTAAATACATGTTTTGTTGTAGTGTAGGGGGAGAGTGTGTCCAAACCGACCTAAGGACTTCACTCAATGTCAGTTCATTTCGTATACATATACAGTACAACCACATGTGCTAGTATGGGATAGCCCAAGCTTAGTAAATTATTTATGGTTTAGCCTTATATTCTGGTAGGCTGGTGTGTATGAGTTCGTATAATTCAGAGGAGCTTCCTGTTTACCCCGATGTGGTAGTTTAGGTGACTAAGCGTGTCCAATACAACTGTATTGTGCCACATGGTGGGTTCCCGTTGTGTCCGCCACCACGGCGTTAAGTTTAAGGCGTGGGCCTGCCACTTAACGGTTCTTGGTTATATAACGTGTATGGCTTAGGATGGAGAGACACGTATCGTGCTGGTGTAAGGCTAAATCATGAATTTTGGAAAAGATTTGTTGTGAGTAATAAATCGGGTACTTATGTATCGCGTGCCATGCTCTTGCATGATTATTATTTCGCATCATGTGGGTAAAGTGTTAGTCGTGCTCGCGGTCATGAGCGACGTGTGGATATATATTGAGTATAGACTTGTATTTATTCTTCTAAATGCTAAAATTTACCTTCAAATTGTGATGAGATTTGAGAATGATCTCCTTGCTGTCATGGATGATTAATGCCTACTTTTGATGCCCATATGCTAAGTACTAGCTTGCTGAAATTTATTTGAAAACAAATCTGATTTGAAAGTGTTTTATGCAAATAAAACTTGCTTTATGCTAAAAAGAACCATATATGCCTTCTGTAACATCCTGAAAATTCAAGACAATAAAAAAATCACTAAAATTTTGAACTTTTTAAAACTTTTGCATCATGCTGGATCTTATGGTTGCTATTGCTTGCCAAACTATAAATTGTCACCACTGAAAATTAAGCTAAAGCTATACAACTGAGTAACAATTATAAAAATAAGATATTTATTATGAACTCTATAAATATTTACGCACGAGAAAACAAAGCCAGACAAAGGGAAGGTTAATTACCAATTTAATTTATGGATCAAATATTAAATACTTGAACCATGTGATGTGTGCCATGAAATATAAACACTTAGGAAATGATAATCATTCAAATAAATGGAACTCTATCTATAGAATAGTTTTACTGGGAAAAAATAATTAGATATTATATAATTTGAATTGAATCACAAATGCTAAATTATAGAAATCCATGTGGTGGTAAAACCAATCCAAAAAGATAAACCAATATGTGTGAAAACAGATAAATACCAAAATCCCAAATATAGGAAATTATAAAAATCTAGGATATATATTTAAAAATTGGACAATATTAAATTTTGGGGAAATTCACATTTGAGCACTTAATATGGTCACTCAACTGCTGAGGAGTAAAATACAAATTTAATTTGCAACTTTTCTCAATTTATAAATAAACCAAAGCCCTAAAAATAGGAATACTTAGAAAATATATAATAAAAATAAAAATATGTTCAATATTAAATTTGAATACAAATTTCGATGGATTAACTTAGGCTTGGTGTATTTTACATTGTGACAAAATTAGTGGCAATAGTATATTTTTCCTAATTGCAAAATACCCTATAAAATCAAAAATAGTTGGCTAACACTGTTCATTAGCCCTCTAGGTGTTTGATTTGGTTCCCTAGCCACCACCGCTCCTCTGCCGCGCTCCCCCTCGAGCCCCGCGCCGCCCCTGCGCGCGCCGCGCCGCTGCCGCCCTCTGCTGCGCCGCTGCCTTGCGCCCCGCGCCGCCGCGCGCCGTCTTGTCACCGCCGTCGCCCTGCCGCGTCATGTCGCCGTCGCCGCGCCGTCTCCATCCCGCCGCGCGCCGTCGCCGTCGACGGTCGCATCCTCTCGAGCCCCACTCCTCCGCGCGTGCCGTCGTCGTCGCCGTCGCATCGACATCATCGCCGCGCCGCGCGCCGTCGCATCAGCTTCGCTGCCGCGTCGCGCGCCGTCTCGTCGCGCCTCGCGCCCCGCGCCGCCAAGCCGTGTGCCGCTGCTGCGCCGTCGTCCGTCGCGTCGCACCACGCCGAGCCCCGTGCCACGTCCGTCGCCGCGCGCCGTCCCATCCCTGCGCCCCGCGCCATGCCATGTGCGCCTATGCCATAACCGCCTCTAGCCCAGCATCTAGCCCGGCTGGCCATGAGCTGGCGAGCTTATCCGTCTTAGCTTCCAGCACAAGCCCCTCACCCACCTATAAAAGACCTCCTAGCCCCCACGAGCTCGTCCGCCCCTCTCTGCCTTTTCTTCTCCCTACTACACATTTCGTCGAACACCTTGTGGGCGTGCCGCAGCTTCTTCCCGGCTCCACCACCGCCGCGGAACTTCGTCATTCCGCCGTCCCTCGGTAAGTCCTCACTCCTGTTACTCCTCCTATTCCTCTAGGAACTACCTCCCCCAACTATTTCATCGATTAGGGCCATAATTGTGACAAGCCCGAGCTACGAAGCTCCGCCCGTGGAGGTCACCGTGGACATGCCATCCGGGGGGTTCTCCCTTCGATTTTTCTGGAAAAACGGAACCCTCATGCGCCATAGATGCTCACGCCCTCACCAATTTGGTCGCAAACCATTCCGTTCACCATAGCTGCTTGCAGCCAAGCTCGGTCATGACGTTGCCGTGCCGCAACGCTCGCCCCTACTCCGCCTTGCGCCGCCGCCGCCGGTGGAGGGCCGCCTGAGCTCCTCCGCACATCCCCTGGCCGCCGCCGTGCCGCCCCGGCCCGTGCCCGTCGCGCCCAGCCGTGCCCTGGTGCTGCCTCCCGATGGCTGGAGGTAGAAGACGATGGGAAAAGAACGAGAGAGAGAAAGAGAGCAGCCGAGCCACTGACAAGCCGGGCCCACTCCCTATTTTTCTCTAACAAAAATAATTCGGTAGAAAAGATAATAAAACCCCTGACCCCACCCGTCAGTGACTCTGAGCTGTGGATAGGTTCCGGATTAAAATAAATCCGCTATGAACAGTACTGTTTCGCAATTATTCAAATTTGAATATTTACACTAGCATAACTTATTCATTTTAACTCGGATTTGAGTGAAACTTGAACCTAAATTCATATAAATTCATAAGCTTTCCAATGGTATATAGTTCACTATTTAATAAAATATGTTTATAATTAAAAGTTAATTAATATCAAGATGATGCATAATAGTTAACTTAAAAATGTGCTAATAAATAAAATTGAAAATATACTGTAAAGTAGATGTCAAATAATTGTCTTTAACATGCTTTCTCACTGTAAAACCCATGTAAACTAATTAGAAGCATTGTTTCAAATTAATTAAAGCATAGGAAATGCTAGTGCCATTTATTAATATATGTCCCTATATAATTATACGCATGCGTCCAAAGTATATAAATAATGTTTAGCCTCATATTTCGTGACAAAAATATAAACACACCTAGATGAATCTTTAACTTGTTTAGGAGAGTAATCACAGAGCTAGTTGTATTTGGACCACTTAAAAATTAGTTGATACAATGTCATGTGAAGTAGAATATATAGTCAGTTGATATCCATTATTTAAACAAACAGAGCCATCTTAAAATCAACATGTATTGTATAGCTTATAGTAAAAAGCAACTACTCAAATATATGATCCAATAATAAGACATTGTTGCTTACACATATACTATACGTCCCATTATAGTTGTACGGTATAGTATTAATTTGCATGTTACATATATTAATTAGAGGGAGTGTATGACAAACATGTATATTAGATAAATACTAGTATAAATCTTGACCTCATATGATTATAATTATAGTTCAAATGTAAATTAGGATTGTTTATTAAGGGATAATCTGTAACCATAATATGATTAACCTAAACAACTCTAACATACAAAGCATGGATAATTATTATCCTTTTTATTGTGACAAGTGAAATATGTTCATAATTAAAGTAAAGCCTCCATCAATTAAATAATAATACACATGATTCATTATTTGATTGATCATAAATCCATCTAACAACAGAACCTCTAGTATATAAACGTCCTATTTAGATAGATGCATGCTTAGCCATAATCCTTCCATAAGCCATTTGATAGACTAAACCACCGATTAGCCAAATATATATGTATCCCATAAATGCTATGTTGGTTAACTCCTAAATAGGCCACGTTGATAATAGAAAGATTAAGAAACCTTAGCCCCTAGCGTGATTGGAATCCATTAGCAAACACGAATAGTACATTTTGTCGCGCATATTTGATTGTTGTTTGAATACTGGTTTTTCTCGCGTATTATAGACCTTGTGTATCGGTTAGTCGTGAGGCAACGTCTGCAACTTCCAAGAGGTGAAGGTTGATCAAGATTATAGCAATAATAAGGATTATCCTGAGCAAGGCAAGTCATCACTATTCCTTGAACATGTTGATCCCAATTGCGAAATTATTTTGTTTATAAATAAAATTGCATGCAATGATGAATATCCTACTTGGGATTATGCCATGCCTTGATTATTGTTTACCCTTAAATCTTTGTAACCATGTCTACGTATGAGTCCCTAGTCAATTATGACAATTGCTTAGAAATGCTATTCTAGA